AACAGGAAGCCAGTGCAGAGAAAGCCAAGACAGGAGAAATATGATCTCTTTTTCTGGTTCCTGTAAGAACACGTGCTGCAGCATTCTGGATGGAGTGGTGTTTAGGGTCTTCAGTTTGTAGGACAGGCTGCTGTTCTCCGCTAATAGTGGCAATACTGAGAAGAACAACACAAACCACAGTTATATCCCAGACCATCTCAGGGGTCATCCTGAGGTGATGTAGGAACTGGAAAAAGGCTTTCAACAGGCCTACAGTCACAGTCATTCCCACCCAGGTTCTTGTCCTGCAATGAACCCTGTTAAAGTTCAGTTGGGGACCTGGTTCTGGGTCAGGGTAAGGGGTCACCAGCCTTGGCTGGTAAGAGTAACCCCCGTCCCCCTACAAAAGACATCAAACTCTCTTGTAATGTATAGTGCATCCATTAGAGTGCATTGAAGGACAAAAACAAGTGAATGATACTGTGTTTATTTTTAGACTTCTTGTGATGTTGGAGTCTGTTGCTAAGGTAAGACTCACCATATAGAATAGAAAAGAATATGCTTTATAGTCCCCTAGGGGAAATTTTTCATGGACTCAAGAGTGCGTAGTAGTAGCTGCCATTAGAAACATAATACACATAAAAATATATATATATATATATAGGCTAAAGACACACACGTAGGCTGCATACATACATACATACGTACGTATGTACGTACTGCCCATCCTGAGTATATATTTTAAAAAAATTGTTTTAAAATATTTCAAAAAACAAATAAAAACAAACAATACTAAAACAAGTTATTGCCCACTTCCCCTTCCCTTTGCGTACAGATATAGATCAGATCAGCCTAGGCTAATTTGCCTCCAGATTTGAAATGTTATATGCAGCATCACATACGATAGTTAAAAGACAGACGTTTAACTTTGATGCAGTCTTTAACATTTTGAAACGGTTGTCAATCCAGATGTACCTGCACATTAATGCTGTGAATTGCCTTCCTGTTTGAATACTCAATTTCATTATGTGAGGGTGCCTTGACAGGAATGGGATTCCAGTTAATGAACCCAGTGACCTTGGGAAATCCTAAAAGGAAATAAAATG